ACAAGTTTGCTTGATATAATTGATGTATGGATTGTTAAAATATCTGTAAGAGCTCCCAATAAAATGATTTAAATTAAAAAAATTAAAATAACCTCACTTTGGAAAACTGCTTTTTCCAGTAGTGTTGTGTTGAGATTTCCCCACCATTACAGTTGATGATTCTCAAATACCTTTGGAACTCTTACAATAACTAAGTCAGTGCCCATGTTATACAAATCATACCAGTTGTAATCAGGCCTCATTCAAATTATCAGGTAGATCCAAGGAGGAGTTTCAAAAAATTATTTGAGTTCTAAGAATATCAGAGGATCCTGGTGCTGTACTGTTGACCTGCTACTAAAAAGTTACCAGCTGCTCTGTGGGAGAAAGACGGGCTTTACTCTGGCAAAGAGGTACAGTCTTGGAAAGTAACAGGGCAGTTCTACCCGGTCACATGTGGTCACTGTGAGTTGGCATTGACTGGATGGCAGTGAGTTTGCTGCTTTTTCTGGAACAATGTCAGAATAGTGTGTAGATTTCTAGAATCACTCTCCAGAAGGAAAGAAACAGTCCCTCGAATCTGTTGTTGCAAAATCAATAAAGTTACTTTTTTAGTCATACCTAATAAAGAGCAAGTTAACAGAAGAGCTAGGATATTTAGAAAAGTAATTAACTTGATAAAAAGTCTTGTGCATTATAAAAGTAAAGTTTATTAAATTGAATTATTATTTTAATATCTAAAATTTAGAGCCCAAGGTAGAATAGAATTTCTGTACAATAGTTTTAAAAACCATCTTTTCAAACAGAACTTTTCACTTAAATGTTTTATACTAGGTACTCTTGTTTCTAGACATATAATTTTATAAATTACATTTTTTTAGAAACGATATATGCATTCTTATAAACTCTAAATGATTTTAGGTAAGAGTGAGTGGCACATCGAAAGGCTTTTAAAAGCCTTTCTATAGTTAGTTGATCTCATTAGGAGGTGAGGCAAAGAGCAGGCCCACTTTGGAACATCTCCCTTTCCAGTTAGCAAAAGTATTTGATTTTCGTTGCAAGAAAACTTACTTTTAGTCGCGTTTTTTAACAATGACCTACTCCAGATAATTAAATTCATCTCCAGGTCTAGAGATTTAAATTTGTCAAATCAGTGTGTGTGTGTGTGTGTGTGTGTGTGTGTGTGTGTATTAGTGTTTTCTCCTTCATTTATAATAAGTAAACCCCTTAGGCCAGGGATCCGGTTTCGTATCTCCATGGTCACAGAACCACGAACACGTTCTGCATAGTGTAAACACTGATAAATATCGTCTCCAACAAATCATAGTCTTAGTTTGTCTTTAATCTCAGTAGGTATTGCTAACTTTGTCACGCGATCTGAATTGATTTTCAGGAAACAGGAACTATGTCCTGTTGATTGTTGAAAGGAGCTTTGATGGTGTGGTGGGTTATGTCTTGGGCTGCCAACTGCAAGATCAGCAGTTCAGATCTACCTGCTGCTGTGTAGGAGAAAGATGAGACTTTATGCTCCCAGAAAGATTTACAGCCTCTAAAACCCAAAACTGAGTCATGATAAGTCAGAGTTGATTCAGTGGTAGTAGGTGTATTGAGTGTTGTGTGCTGTTGATTGTTACCCGTAGCATCCCAGTATGCCAGAGTATAACTAGCCTATAGAGTTTCCAAGGCTATGAATCTTTAAAGAAGCAGACTACCAAATGAGTTTGAGGTTGTAACTTTAAGGGAACAGAAAGTCTGCCTCACCTTTCTCTTACAGAGCATCTGGTGGTTTTGAACTGCTGACTTTGTGGTTAGCAGCCCAATTCATAACCCACAATGCGTCCAGGACTCCTTAACTGCATGTAGGGGTAAGCCATTCACTAAAATTGTCACATATGGTATTTGTATATGACTCTTTTTGTTTGAGATGAGCAGGTATGGTATTTTAGCATTACTGTTTTCTTCATTTAATTCTAGTTTCCTTTCAAAAATTAAAACTCTGGTTGAAGGGGAAAGTGTTACTTTAATTTGGGGTCTGGAAGCATTTCTGGATGTTGATAGTGTTAGCTAAGTTTGGATGAGGCTTCTCTTCTGTGAATTAGGCCTATATGTTACTGGTTCAGAGTTTTTCAGTAACGGGCAATGAAGGGCCATATCTGAACCTCCTCTCTCATCCCTGGTTCCATGAGGCAGAACTCAGACATGCTTCCAGGCTCTATCCTTCTTTACCTAGTCTGACAACAACTGTTCCCTCCTTGCCATTGTGTGTCTATGGTAAGTTTGATAATTCATTGCCGTGGCCACACAGAACTCACAATATTCACAGTTAAGGGGGGTTAATTAGAGAAGTTAATTAATTACTAGTCAGGATCAGCAAACAGTAAGGAAACACTCATTGGTCTCCTCAGCCAGTAGTCAAGTCTCTCTCTGTAGTTCTTAGTCTCTCAGTCACATGGTCCCGTCGCCTTTGCCTCCAAGGGCCAGGAAGCCAGCTCTCCTGTCACTCTGTCCTACAGTTCCAGGTCTCTAGTTAGGTAAGGAGAAGGTACCCACGTCTGTCTCTGTGCTGCTTCTCTGGGCTCCCAGCCTCCGCCACTTGAGGCAGAGATATTGAATGTGTTCTTCCAAGGTCCTTGAAGGTTTCTCTCTCCTCTGCTGCTGCAAAGATGGCTCACACCCCCTTGTAGCCCTGGGAAATGGTAATGAAAACTGACCAGTCTCTTTTCTTAGTGTTACACTTGCCCTGTTTGAATAGTCCCACCTGATTATTTGGTAAGACTTACAGAGACTTGGGTAGAAGAGTCATATTAAGAAATTTCCAAAAAAAAAAAAAGAAATTTCATGACCAGAGAAGGGGCTAAAACTTAAATAATATTATAATACACAACCTTTTCAAGGAGTGCTAGAAGTGATTATTACTTATAACAGAATTTAGGACTTTGCCTTCTTGGCCTGTAGGATTCCTCCTGCTCTCCTTAATCCACGAGTTTGTGACTTCTGATGTTGAAACCCCACATTTAGAAGTTCCGTATTCAAGAGCATATATATTAATCCTCAGATTGTAGTGACAATTTGAGACCAGATAGGCATATAGAAATTATATAAAATTGACAATATTTTAGTATCAAAATATATTGGGGAAAAAACATTTTAAGGTTGGTGTGTTAGTCTGGGTACATCAGAGAAACAAATCCACAGAAACTCATATAATATATGAGAGGGTTTTATATAAAGGGTAAGTGTACATTAAGAAATCATCCCAACCCAGTGCTGTCCAAGCCCACAAGTCCAACATTAGCCCATATGTCCAACACCTATCTACAAAGTCCTCCTCAATCTCACAAAACATATGCAATGACGCCAACGGCAAGAGGAAAGCCAAATCAGTGAGCATGTAAGCATCTCCATGCTGGCGGGCTCCACAAGGGTTGCTCCAGCACCCAAGGCTGCATCAGGGTAGGTCCATGTGGCTTCTTAGGGATGTCTTGCAGGAAGTGGGCCTTGCCAGCTGAAGCAGGGAACTGGCTAAGGCGGCTGCACTCTGGTCCAACCTTCAGAAAGCAAGAGACCCAAGAACTAGAAAGGCAAGGCTCACCGAGCCATTTAACTCTCTGCCGTTCATTTAATCCCACATGTGTTTATTGGCCAGGTTGGCACAATAAACCTTAACTGTCTCAGTTGGCCTTTATAATGCTGTTAATATTTATATATGATTAGCATGCTAATATTTATTTTGGGGTAAGACTGACTTATTCCCAACTAACTAGCAAAATAAATACAATCTATATGGTTGTCAACCAACTACTTTTTTCTCATACATTTTCATGGTCAATCAAAATATTTAGTTAATTTTGTATATATATTTGAAAAGATAAATGTTTAACTTGAATAATGATAATTCATAGCAGCATAATTGTTAGCACTGCTCAGATGTGTCCAGCATGTTAACCTGAGGTATCTTACTTAACTCTTCACAAGAAGAAGACATACTATATAGATTTATGTACCAACTTTAGACTTTAAGAAGTTCCTAACTACAGGGAATCCAGGACGGATGAGCCCTATAGGACCAGTGGTGTGAGAGGCGAAACAGGGAGGGTAAAGGGAGAATGGGTAGGAAAGAGGGAACCGATTACATGGAACTATATGTGACCTCCTCCCTGGGGGACAGACAACCGAAAAGTGGGTGAAGGGAGATGTTGGACAGGGCAAGATATGACAAAATACCCATTTATAAACTATCAAGGGCTCATGAGGGAGGAGGGAGCGGGGAAGGAGGGGAAAAATGAGGACCTAATGTTGGGGGTTTAAGTGGAGAGAAAATGTTTTGAGAAATGATGTACAAATGCGCTTTACACAATTGATGTGTGTATGGATTGGGATAACAGTTGTATGAGCCCCTAATAAAATGTTTAAAAAAAAAAAGTATTATTAACACTTAAACTCCAAATTAAATGATTTTCTAGTGGTTAAAAAAAATTTAATCTTATTCTAAGCCTTGTAATGTAAGAGATGTTTATTTATTCATCTACTCCCTTAACAGGTTAACCTTTTTTGTGTTAGGCTAAATACTTAATTCTGTGAATAAAACCATCTACAAAATAAGATTTCCTTGTTTAGCTAATTTTTAAAAGAAAGGCTAATTATGGGAAAATGATGAACTGTTTTGTTCCGTAGCTGGCCAGCAGTGACAAGAGACCACATACCCACTGCGATTGAGTTGATTCTAACTAATAGTGACCCTATGGGGGCAGAGTAGAACTGCTCCATAGGCTGTCACACGTTTCTCCCGATGCTGACTTCTTCATTGGCAACCAAGTGCTTTAACCACTCCTAATACAATGTTAATCGGGGCTCCTAAGAGACTGTATACTGGATGCTCAATTACATATGCAAATAATTTTTTAGATGTTGTTTTGGATGCTTTTTAGTGAATTTCTCAGAAAAGATGGCAATTTTTGAGGTAAGTTTCCGTTCTGCGCACCATATGAATGCTTATAATACCAATTTATTCTGTTTTTCAGAATTGGAACAGCTGCACTGGCGGTTCAGGTTGTGGGCAGTAATTGGCCCAAGCCCCACTATACTTTGCTGATTACAGGCCTGTGCCGTTTCCAGATTGTGCAGGTCTTAAAAGAGAAGCCATATCCTGTTGCTGAAGTGGAACAGTTGGACAGACTTGAGGACTTCCCCAACACGTGTAAGACTAGGGAAGAGCTTGGGGAACTTTCAGAACAGTTTTACAAGTATGCAGTACAAGTGAGTTGCTTTTATTTTTTCTTTAAACCTTTTTTCTTCCTTTGTTTCCTTTCTGCTCGAAGAAGTCATGCATCTGTTGGGTGGTTTAGGGTAGCATAAGTCGCAAGTGATTTAATAAAATATTCTAACATTAATTTCAATGTGCTTTCATCTGGGATTGTGACTAAATCATTCCAGAACAACTTTGCTAATCCTTTCTGAAAAATTTCCACAGTATTTCTAGGGCATCCCTTAATAATTTTCAGTGTCTCCAAACCTATATATTTAATGTTTAAAATTATGAGATTGCATAGGAGCTATTTGTCATTAAAATATCAGGGTGCCAAATTATATAGTATGTTATAGTCAACTCATATGAGTCTGGTAGTAACTTTTGAAAATTAAGCACATGGTGGAATGATTCCAAAGATGGGTTAAACCTTGACTAGGTAACACCCTGGGAGGGAAACATACCGTAGGCATGCATCAAATATTTGACTTCTTAAATTCTAGGTTACTGGGAGTTTTTTGAGACCATGGCATTTTGTTTCAAGCCTTATTGAAATGTATTATAAAATGGAGTCTTTTGCTTTTCTAGTCATCTAATCCAATAGATGTAACTGAGGATCAGTTAGTGTCTATTGAAGACAATCATCACTGATTATTGAAAAGTGTGCCTAGTATGGCATTTGAAATGATACACTTCTAATATGAACAGCAATAGAAAAGTAGAAAATTGGAGCTGTAACTTCTGTGGGGTAATTTGAGAATTGGAATAAATGTGTATGCTATTAGGAAGGGAAGGAACCCAGGTAGCATAGTGGTTCCGAGCTGGGCTGCTAACCACAAGGTCAGCGGTTTGAAACTATCAGTTGCTCTATGGGAGAAAGACAAGGCTTTCTACTGTCTTAAAGAGTTACAGTCTCTGAGTTTCACTTACAGGGGCAGTTCTATCCTGACTTATAGGGTTACCGTGAGTCAGAATTGACTTGATAGCAGTGAATTTTGTTTTTTAAATTAGGAATAGACATAAAGGAGGAAATAAAATTTATTTTTCTTTTCTGAGGTAATTTTTCCTGTGTGTTGGTGTTTTACTGGACATAGGTTTGTAGTGTCTTTCAGTTTGCTGTTTACTTTTTACCACTTTAAATCTTAAGCAAATAAAGATTTTGTAATGAGAGCAAATTCATTTTTAGAGAGGAATCATAAATCTTGCTTACAATGCATCTAAATTTAATTTTTGTGTGTGTATTTTAGTATGTTCAGTTTTTTGTTTTGTTTTCATATTTATATCTAATTTTCATATTAAATATATTTCATAAACTTATTTGAGTTGGGAATATTATAATTTTATCATACATTTTTTCAGACTGTTTCCAGTTGATGCTTCTCAACTTCTCTGCTTCATCATCCCTTCAGTAACCTCCTGAGCTTCTTCTACTTTCTGCTGTCTCTAAGCCATCCTGTTTACTGAGCATTTCTTTAAATAGTTTGGGGCATGCCTCTCCCCAAAAGTAAAAAGATTCTTAATGTAGCATTGTTGTCTTCACAACTTGGCCGAGGCCTATCCATTTTCCTCAACGCTGTTACTACCATAGGCGCTCATTGCTAACCGCATGGAACCCCAAAAAGCATTTTATCTTGTTCTTTCATGTCTTTATGATTTTACCTTCTCTTCTCTGCTTTGATGTTCCTCCTTCTCTGAATTCCTGTGCTTTCTGTTTGTATGCTTTGAGACCTCACGTCGGCTCTTAGTGCTCTTTTCCTCCCTACTTTAGCCATACTGTACTGAGCAGTATATTGTGTCTGACAAATATTATGTACACAAGAAGTGCTTGGGTAATGACTGGTGACTGTTTTAATTTACAAGCAGTCCCCAGGTTATGAACCAACTTGCTCTTTACTGTTATGTAAGCACCTCTTGTGTATATCTAAAATGTACAGAAAACTTTAGCATCTCAGCAACAAAGAGACAAAAAAATAATCTAATTAGGAAATGGGCAGAGAACAAAAACAGACAGATCCTTCACCGTAGAAGACATTTTTGCTGCCAACAAACTTATGAAGTAATGCTTGTGATCATTAGCCAATAGTAAAACACAAAGCACAACAGAGATACCATTTTACTCCAGCAATTAATTGTAAAAGAAGCAGAAAACACTGACAAAGGTGTAGAGAGATTGGAACTCATACACTGCTGATGAGACTAACATAGTGTAACCATTGTGGAAAACAGTATGGTGCTTTCTTAAAAAGTTGGAAATAGAAATACCATATGACTCAGGAATCCTTCTACTTGGTATATATTCCAGGACAAATAAATGTATGCACACTCATGCTCATTGCAACACTATTCACCATGAATACCAAAGAGATGAAAACAACCTAAATGTCTTATCAGTGAAAGAATGGATAGACAGACTGGTACATGGATGAACCTGGAAGGTAACAAGCGGAGTGAAATTATTGAATCACAAAAGGACAAATACTGTATGAAACCATTCTTATAAAAGATCAAAAAAAAGGTTTTCACAGTAAAAGAAACTTTATTTGATGGTTACCAGGGGTGGGAGGGGAAGGTAGGATAAATTCCTTGTTAGAGGTTAGAGAATAAGCAAATAAAAATTATGTATGTGGATTGTTGAATTTAAAACTAATCTGCTCTGTAAACTTTCACCTAAAGCACAAGAAAAATTTAAAAAACAAAAAGTCAGGCAAGGCCAGCAGTTTAGTTTATTCAAAGATGACTCTAGTAAGAGAAGTGTATTTGTGCCCGTTTCCCTACTCAATTTAAACAGCAGCGTTTGATAGCCTCAACCAACTAAAAGGCTGGCTGATTCTGCCCCGCCAGCATTGTTGCGTTTGCCTGAGACTGAAATTTAAAGCTGAGTCTGCCCCGCCAACATTGTTGCGTTTGCCGCGGACGGAAACTTTAATGCAGGTTCAAGAACCCAAGAGGACAGGGACCAAGGGTTTCATTGAGTTTACCGGCCTTGGTTATATAACTGGTTTTGTGCTTGGGCACATACATATTTTTATCTAAGGCAGAATCTGATCTGATGTTTGCTTTCTTTGTAAGATGCCTTCAGGGAACAAGGGTGTTTACAGCAAAGGAAATAAATAGTCTCTATTTTCTCTAGTTGTCAGCTCTGTCAGTATTAACTAAAATACTTCCATTGTGATGAGCTCAGTTGGCTTATATTAGTTTGAAATTAAGTCTGAAACAATAGTAATATTTTATTCGCTACTTTCCCCATCATCATATTTGGATGTTGTTATCATCTTGGATCACATAGACTGGTGTGCTTCTTCTGTGTGGACTTAATTGACACCTCACTTTGGTTGCATGTTTGAATACAAGGCTTTAAGACTCCAGACACTATTCTAGTTGATAGCCAGGCACCATCTGCTTTCTTGACCACACTTTGCCATGATACCTTTATCTTCAGTGATTTCTTCATGAAAGCCAGTATCAAACAGGGCCACTTTATAAAAACGAACTGTTCTTGGATTAGGGCTAGAATTACATGGGAGCCCAGAATTCACTTGCTTGTCATGGGTTATGAACTATTCTGGTTTACTTTGGCAGTCATATTATGACAAAAACCACCAACAACAACAAGAATAACAACAATTAAAAAAAATCCCCCAAACAAAAAAACATTGTCAGTCATCCCCATAGGATAGGGTATAAAGGCAGTTGCATTGATAACATCAATAATTTGTTCAGTGGTATAGAATATAAGGTACTATTGATATGAGTTTATGCGAGTATCCTCCAACTGCTAGCAGCAATCCATGCGTTGTTGCTTAGAACAGATTGATTCTTAATTGAGCTCTTGTTTGCGTTGAGTTTGGGGTTGTTGCTACAGGAAAATTTCTTGTATCATTTCTTGCAAGGGCAGATCCTTGCCACTCAGCTTCAGACCTGTCACATCCATGCAGAGGGAGCATTCAGGTACTAAATATATGGTGGTTCTGGGTCCCCTTTCAGTGGACACCCATTAAGCCAGGGGCCCCACCCAATGTCCAACAACTGCCATTTCTACAGACTTGGGGTGGCCATCTTTTGCTTCCTCTCTCATTCCAGTATTTCAGTCTGAAGTTGAAAGGTACAAGTAGTTTTGAGGTATGGCCCAGTTTGTTCAGTCAGGCTTCCACATTGAATCCTTCTGGTGTGGTCCTTAAGGAATACCATGTTCCTGTAAGGGCATTGTCTGAGGTCATCATAGTGCTTAGTTCATGACATGGTTCACCTAAGGTTGGGTAAAAACATATTTGAAGAGTCCAACCAGGACTATAGAACCAGGTTTATTCTCCCCATAGGTTCCCTACAATTGTTTAGCATCCCTTCCTGATGTGAGGTTGTTCTTCCCCATTTACCTACTGTGTTAGACCAGGTTGACAAGGGAAACAAATTCATTAACACTTATGTGTGTAAGAGAGAGCTTTATATCAAAAAGTAGTTGTATATTGAGAAAACATCCCAGCTCCATCCAAATCAAGTCCATAATTCTGACATTAGCCCATAAATTCCTCTTGAGATTCATGCAGCACATGCAATGATGTGCAGGAAGATCATAAGCTGGTAGAAAGTCTGTTGGATCCAGTGGTGGTAGAAGCATCTCAATGCTGGTGTGGGTCTCTATGTGTCTCCTCAAGCTCTCCAAGTGTCTCAATAGCAGTAAAAAAAAGGGAAGAAAGAGTGTGTCCCGCCTCGGGACGAAGAGAGGAAGTTCCCAGGATCCTCCTGAGTAGGCTATGCTCACAAAGAGGTAACATTGACTGTGACCTGATTGATAGGTTAGACTCTATCTACCCCTTTATTCATAATACCCTCAAGTTGACATGAGGTTATGTAACTACCACACCAACAGAAATATCAGTGCTACCTCTGAAATGTTGATGCCTCCCCTCCCCTAGTCTTAACTTGATTTTCCATTAACGTTCTCCACTCATTCCTGTGGAGGGCCACTTGATTTGCCTCAGCTTTGTCGCTGTTGCATAGCATTAAGTGGATG